CATACTACAATAATTGCAACGGCCACAGAAACTTCTACAGAAACTTTAAAGAGGTACAAAAACCAATAGGAAGAGATACATGTTCATTACAAGTTTCTTTGTCATTATTGTTGAATAATCTGCCGTTTTCAAAATAAGTATACGGGGCCAGGCACAAAAGTTATAGGACCTAACCTAATTTTTTAATGGAACACCCTGTAGAATTCTAAAAACATGGCATAATTATATTATTAAATTATTAAATTCTCTTTCTAAAAATTTAAAACTATTCAGTATTGATTCCAAAAAAATAAAAAATTCCACGAAAAAATCTTTTTGAAATTTTTTGCATTTTTTTACTTGAGTTCTTCATTTTTTTATAATCAAATATTAACTCTATTTGGGAAAAACATTTTACAGTGAATTAAAAAAACCAAATCCCTTTTTTCAAAAATCATCAGCCTCCTCTCCTTCTTTCTTTTCCTCTTTCCGCCTCTTATCTACATTCCTATGGCATGTGGCCTATATTTTTCTCTTTCTCTCCACCAATTCTGCATTTCCTTCCTTCTTCGTTTCTCCACTTTTCCATCCCTCTCTCATAGTTTCCGCGCCTAACCCTTACAATTACTTCGATATGTTTTCTTCCCTTCCTTAGGTATCTCGAGAACCAATGCCTTATCAGCTGCTTGTACCTATGCCCTTTTTTCTAAGTCCATCTTCCATCCTTTCCCCTATTCCTCTTCCCCTTTTGTCCTCAACCCTTCCGCATCCATTTCTTTCATAATATTCTTTTCATTGTTCCCTCCAATTTCCTTTTGTGTTTATCTTTGTTGACTCTTCCATTCCTTTCCTTGAAACTTACCACCCTGCGTCACGGCGCTATCCTTATCTTCATTTTTGTGTTTCCTCCTCTATATGTAATTTGGTGTCCTTCCGTTTACAGTCAGTAATACTTTCTTCTAGTTTTAACCCCATTTTCCCTTTTATTCTTCGTTCCTTTATTAGTGCATTTGCCTATTATTTAGTTACTTCTGGTACTCTAAATATTTAAATTCACTTCACTTCCATTCTACTTCCATTTCCCAAGCTCTCCCTTCCCAAATCTTATCAACTTTGATTTTTCGACATTTCCAATGAAAACTTGACAATTTAATAAAAATCCGTGGCGGTTCCAACCCCCAATGAAAATGAACGTCCTAAACCCATTTGTGCAGTAGAAATCACAATTCCAAGTCATTTTCTGAATTATTACCCCCTTAAATTTCAAGCTTTGAACTAATTGCGCCAATGAAAACTTGAAAATTTAATAAAAATCCGTGGCGATAACAACCCCCAATCAAAATGAACGTCCTAAACCCATTTGGGCAGTAGAAATCACAATTCCAAGTCACTTCGCATTAAATTCATTCAGACCAAGACAGGAATTTTGAATCTCCGTTATTCCAGGACGTTTTCAAGGTCATGAAGGGTACAGATCGACCGACATCTTCATTTCCGCCAAAAAGGTGGGTGTGTTATTTTTTACCACAACGCAATTGTACCTTCCTTACTAACGTGCGGGCGGTAACAAAAATCAATAATCTCATTGATCTTGGAATACGTTTGCAAGGGGAAATTTCCCAAAATATTATACGGAAATAAGCTATTCCTAATAAATCCTTGATAACGTGCTGCTTCGAGTCCTGTAACTGTACTCTATTCTCTATTTATCATCTTCCAAAAGTAATTTCCTGTTTTTGTTTCCCTGATTTGTCTTTTACATCGTTCCTCCATGGTTTTTTCATTGCACTTTCTTTTGTACTTTGTTTTGTTTTCTAAACTCCTTCTCTATGTCTCCTTTTTTCTCCATCATTATTCTGTATCTGTGCCTTTCATCTGTACACTCTCTCTGTCTCACCACTCTTTTCTATTATTTCTCCCTTCTCCTGTTTCCGTGTTATTTCTCCTTCAAATTTTTCCACTCCTTTTTGTACCTCTGGTCACCTTCTATAAGTCTCAACAGTCTCTTTGGTCCATATCTGTATCTCCCTTGGCCTTTGTATCTTTCTATTTCTTAATCTTTTTTTCTTCACTAACTTCCATTCTATTCTTGTTCCTACCTTAAACTCATCTATTTCTTCCAGTTTTTTTTTAATTCACTGTTGTGTACCTCACTTCTTCCTCTTTGGTTCACTCTTTATACTTTAATTTTCTATCTTGTGTTTCTCTCCCCATCTCTACTCATTTTTCTTTGTTACAAGTTCTGGAATTTAACTCTCCCCCCAATTTTCTACATTATTTTTACACCTTTCATTCTTTCTCTAATTCTCTTCACCTCCATTTCCACTCATCTTTCTTGAATGCCTTCATCCTCTTTCACCCCCCACCCCCCACATTCCCATACCCCTTTTTTACCTCTGTTAATATACCTTCTTTTGTTTTCCCTATATATTATTCCCAAATTGGTTTTTCCATGTCTTCAATCGGTAGCATGTTATGTATTTTCTTCCAGTTCTTTTCTTCTATCCATCCCGACATCATATCCTCTTACAAACTCCCAGAATTGAGCTTCTTTTATTGCTACCCCCCGCCACATTCCAGAACGTCAATTTCATGGCACTTATCTCCATTTTTATTTCGTTTTGCTACTTTCTCCTATTGTTTTTTTCTATCCCCCTCCCCTAACCCTTTCCCCCCTGTCTTTTCTTTTTGACTTTTAATTTCTCGCTCCAAACCCCGCCCTTTCGTCTCCCATTCTCTCCCATTCTTTCTTCTCACTATCATTTTCATTTGTTACTCGATCTGTATTTTTCATCTTCACGATTAATTTCCTTTATCCCCATCTTACTTTCTTACCCTTTCTTCTTTCACTCCCCGCCTCTTCTAATTACTCTCTGTACCCTTCTTTCTTCATACCTCAACTCGTGATCTATATCCCGCTCCCCTTTAACCCCTGCCCCTCATAGCTCAATTTTCTTTGCCCATTTTAATTCCGCGATTACTATCTCATTTCCCCCTACTTCAGATGTTCTCGCCTCCTTTACTTTCGCCTCTACATGCAGGTTTTCTCCGTGCTTTATCGCTCTTTTCGCTTTTCCACCTTTACTCCTTTTACCGTTATATTGTTCCTTATCTTCTCTCTTTCCTTTCTCCCATTTTCTTCTTCTAGTTTTGCTATCCTTTCCATTGGTTCTTCTATTTCCTTATCCCATTTCTCTTCCCCTAATCCTATTTTCTCTTTCATTTTATCTACATACTCTTTGTGTCTCATTATCTGCCCTCCTTATTTCCGCCTTTACTCCCTCCATCAATTTTTCCATTACTTTTTACATGGTTTCCCTTACCATCTGCGTTAGGGGCTTGGTTGCCTCAGAAGCTCGGAGGCATTCGCTCCAACCTTTTCCGTATGGGATGCTAAAAACATGGACAAAAATGGATATCTGCCTACGTGTGTATATGCAATTTTCCACCCAGTGCGAGCAGCGTGTGTTGCCTATCCTTCGGCGAATAAGTTTCTTATGTCACAGATTTCTTTACGTATATCTGTGCTTATGCCCACCATAACTGGTAACGCTTTTTTTTTTAAATCGGGATGGCCCAAAGAATAGTGTAGTTTGAGGAAAACTAAGAAAGGAGAGAGAGATGGTTCGGGACTCAGGTTGGAAACTGGCAGGTAGAAAAGGGGTGGAACCACAGAAAGATAAACCGCGCGACTCTTGAAATACTCTTGCAGACGATCAGAAAAGATGAAAAATTGCATGTATTGCATTCAGACAATGGTCCTTTGAGCCGAATCGCAAAATCAGCAACTGGCGACGCCTTTTTTAAAAATTCGGGATGTGGAAAGAAGCGTGTGGTTCGAGGAAAACTATATTAAAGAAAGGAGAGGAAGATGGTTCGAGGCGCAGGGTGGTAACTGCGTTGTTAACTACCTAATTAAATAAATAAATTTAATTCGCCACCCAGAAAGACGCTGCGTGAGTTTGGTGAGGAAGAATACGCAGTGGAACTGTTGCGGAGCTATCGCACTATGGCTAAAAAAAACCTCAGGGATGGGTCCAGGAGTGCCGCAAGAGTCTGTTTTAGGACAGGAATGTATTATGAGTAGTTATACAGGGGCGACTTCAAGGTCGCTCGCGATGGCGTGGAGGTGACCTTTGAAATTAGGTCAAGATGACAGTTGAGTGCCACGTGGGCGGTGACCTTGAAAATTAGGTCAGGGTAAAAGTCGCGTGACGCGTGGGCGATGATTTGGTAAATTACACCAAGGTGAAAGTCGCGGGAGAGGTGACCATGGAAATTAGGTCCGTGACCCGTGACACAAGTTTGGACAGAGCTTGTGAAAAATTGGCAAGGCGGTGGAAAAAATCAATAACTGGATGGGGACACGTGATGTACAGTTGGTGCCGGAGGAAACGAAAATAGCCTTAGGGACAGGGAGGAGAAGAAACTGCTGACCTTGATATCTCATGTGAAGATAGCATGCGGACATACGGTGCGCTTACCAGAATTGTGCCCATTGCTGGAGGGGCACGTGCCTCGAAAAAAAGAGCACTGGCAACGGCGGCAACCTCGATTCTACTCTACGGGCGGAAGTCTGAAGCCCAAAACTAAAATGGGGAGTGGTTATAACTTATAACCAGGGTAGAGCAGGTGATACGACTGCCGGCAATCAGTGCTCACGCGCCACCAGAAGTGTGGAGGATGTTATGGTGATTGCGGAGCACAAATTGCGATCAATACGCGAGAGTAAATCGGTGGGAGAGCAATAACGTTCATCTAAATTGACTTTTGTTAACTACCTAATTGAACCTTTTATGTTATATAGCCTTGCCAAACGTAACTTTTTGCACCATACGATTAATATACAATCGAAAATAAATTGTCATAAATTTGATTTTCTTTCTTTGTTTCAGGTAGGTGTCGTCTTTCTCAATATGGTGGTGGGTAAGTTGAAGTACCAACAGAACTATTTTCAGCATTAACTGCACGGTTGAACTGATTTTTATCCGATTAGATAATTCTGTTGATTGTTGGAAGCATACCCTTGAACCATACTTTATTTATACCTACTTGTTTCTACAACTAAGATTATTTATATAAAAATACAGCAAAATGTTCCCTTTAGGCAATCCGTAGCTTGCGGTTTTTGTAGGTGATCGGGGCACGGGCGACCATCCGCTACGCAATCGCCTCCGAACCTTTTGCAGCGGTATTCTTTCGTGGAAACTGGAACCAGAGGACTTTACCTAGCGATCCGCGGCTCATTCCGCGTTTACTTACCTCCATGGCAACATTCGGCTCCCTCTGCTTGTTGCTCGGGGCAAAGGTTGAGATATATGTCGTCCACGGGCACCGAACATTCATCTAGTTTGATACACTGCCCTCCTTGCGCACTGCAAAGATCTTCCGGGTAAAAATCGGTCGGACCCGAATCTCCTGCATCTACACCGTTAATGCAAACGCAAAAGCAAAGAGAAAGGTAACTTACCCAGTACGATAATGGGCAACAAACAAATTAGAAGCGACGCGCTGAACATCTTTATCGTTGCTAGTCGAACTGACTACTGGCTTATATTTAGCGATTCCCTGCCGTTTATCTAATGATGGTTATGTAGCGTAAATAATTACTTGAAAATTACGCAACATTTGTTTAAAAGAAAGGGGTTTTTAGCTACATGTTTACAATCTGAACTGTATCTATACAGGCAACCTAGACTCAAGTGTACTTGTCTTGCAAAATAAATATTTTCCAAGGTTTCTAGAGTTTCCTTGTTCTTATATCGGTCAATTAATCACCATTTGAATAATTTAGAGAGGAAACCACGAATGTATTTGCGGTTTGCTTTTTTTTTTACTTATTGAACGGTGGTTATATCTTCTTCATTCTCTTCCTTTTGGCTTTGTCGTCATCCACCCCCAACGTCACTCAAACCACCCCACATTTGGGTCAAATACCTGCAGGAAAGTCTTGCGATGCATCCCATCTCGCCGATGTACATTCCGGCACCGTTTTCCCGACGACAACCCATCCCGACGACCATTACTATCGGCTATGAGCTTAGAAATTAATTCCGGTGAATTGTTTCAATATAATAAACATGAATTTACTTCATATGTTTACCGCGTCTTAAATGTTTTCCATCCCTCCTTCCTCGCTTCCCTCCACCTTCCGCCTCCACCGATCCCTCGCCGACATTCCACTTCCCCTCAACCCGTTTTTCTTTCTCTTTCTAATATTGCTTTTGTCTTTCTCCTCCTGCTCTTCTTTCTAACCTTATCGCTTCATTTTACTTTTAACAACCTCCTCCAAGTCCACACCTCGAATGCTTTCAGTTTTTCTAATTCTCTTTTATTATTATATCACACCCATATAACAAAACACTCAAAACTCGCTCTCTTTCTCATATACGCTGTCTTGGCCATTTCAATTCCTATCATTTTCTCCTTTTCATTCAACCAATGGTCTTGTAAAGAATTTACTTGTTTTACTAATTCTTCTCTCCCCTTGCCTTTACATCCATTACTTCCTTTGCTTCAACTTTCTTTACCTTCGACTTCTTATGGATAAATTTCTTTCAGTCGTTTCAGCATTTCATTTCCGCGTGTTTTCAGCATTTGTGCCGCCTACTTTTATTCCTTTCCCAGCACTTCTTCGTCATATCCTCCTTATAGTTGGACAACATCCCTGCCTATAGCTCATCTTCCTATTCCATACCTTCAGTGCCACCTCCTGCTTCGTCTACAAGTTGGTGATTAATCTTCCTTCTCTCGAATCCACACTCTTGTCCTTTAAAATGTCTAACAGTTTTTCGTATTTCGCACAATCGAATGTCTTTTCCGATCTACTAGGCACAGACTTACAGTTTCTCCAACTGCATCTCTGATTCCCAAACCCCTTCGGAATCCAAATTGTCTTCTATACGTATTTTCTGATGTACATCTCTACCAGTGGCGTCCGTACGGCTTTTGCATATATGATATAGTCCCAGAAGCGCCTCCATGGCCATAGTTGGTGTGGTTTTCATGGCTCCGGTGACTTTTTTCGGGCTTAATTAAAAACATTCCTACTACGGACCTGTACAGGGTGGTCATTCCATAAAAATCCAGCATGGCGTCCATAAGAAATAAGAAAGTGACCTGTAGCTTTTACATCTGGTGGTGGTAGACCAGGCGGTTAATATTTTTGACCAATCTGAATCTTAATTCCTCGGGGGAAACTGGAAGGACTAGGTAATTGTAATGATCAAGCTCATGTACCTTCTATGTTAATCCCAATAAACGATTTATTATTATTATTATCATTATCTAGGGTGTTATGAATATTCCGAGGACAGATTCAGATTATCCAAAAAAAAAGTGCCCATAGATATCAAGAGCATCCACCAAACCAAGGTATGTTGGTCAATAAATGATCCTGCAATTCTTGTAGCGAAAATACCTAAAGTGCTATCATTAAATTCAGAATGAAAAGGGCTTTAATTTGTATCTCTTACCCTGTCTACGAGTAGAATGCCCAAAGTCGCTTTCCTTATCTCGGGCACAGTGTATAAGGTTGTTTCGGGAGTTTTAAAATATGGTCCAGTACATCAACATACTCGTACATAACATAAACAAAACATACACGTCACAGCCAAATACGCTCTCTTTCAAAATAACCCGAGAGAGCCCCGTTTACTCTTAATTTTTGCTATTTAAGCAAAAACCACCCCCGTTAATAAAATCAATATCGACACGCGAAATTCCATTTACGCCTTCACAACTGATCAAACATCTGCATCGCTTATCTCGTACGTGACATTGTTAGTGAAAAAACCAGATAAAAGCTCTCGGAAAAATTTCCATTAAATGTTCCCTAAGTTTTAAAGTTATCATACAAACTAAATACAGGAAATCTAATTAAATGAATTAAACAATCACCGACTAAATTAATAATAAGAAACTAACATTAAAATGATAAATCAACAATTTTTCGTATTCTGTGTCTATTTGAAATTAAACAAAATACCTTATGAAATAACCTGAATTATGTACATACAGGATGTCCCGACTATCATTTCCGATATCCAGACCGAAATTACGTGACTCGCATTTTCGACATAGTGTAGTACATTTTGTAATGTGTAAAATTTGGTAAATGTTTAAGACATTTTAGAAACGATTCCGAACTTTTGCAAAATTTGTAAAAAAAACTACAGTTTCGATTAAATACATTAAACCGAGACTGAGCAGAAGCTGAAAAGGAACATGACAGGGTAGAATGTTACAAAAAGAATAAAGAGATGAACGAGAGCTAAAACACTAAAGGACTATCGCACCAAAGAGGCTAAAAAGGTTAAAGGCGGGCGCACACCTTATACGATTTTCAAGTTCTATACTTCAAGAAAGAAAGTATAGAGCTCTAAGACTTGCCTGATAGAAACGGTCTGGAAACCTTCAAATATGGTAAATAGAAACGAAATTGACTTAAGATAAACGTAAATTGAATGTTTGGTTGAGATTAAGGTAAAAAAATACCGAACACGGTTACTAGTGTGTCCATAACTCAAGAAATAATAATGCGGAGAGCATGTAACTGTCGCATTCCTCCAGGACCAAATGTGATGACACTAATATAAAACATTGTAGAAATCCTGGAATGGCAACATTGTAGTTAGGTATATAACTTTCGAGTACGCAACTGTTATGTAACATAAACGTAACGGAGACAATTTAAATGTAATGTAGTTATGTTACGTTCTCCTTCCGTAACAGTCACATATCATTTAAAATGAATGCTACCTCTTTTCAACAAATTGTTATATAACATTTTGCACGGCATGCAATATTGCTGAAGTAACATTTCCCTATACACATCGGCTGGTGTGACTCCCTCGGCCCAGTCCTGGACAAAAAAAATGTTATGGCGAACTTATGTTACATGGAAGAAAAAAGTACGCAATGCTGCTCTGAACCAGGAACAATCCGGTATGTTCCAAAAACTTGATTATTTATGTACACAGAAAGAATCGCGTTACGACATTATTTTGTGTAGGTGTTACTCCGTAATGTTATAATAGCGTTATGTATAATTACGGTGTACGGTGAAACACTAATTCTTTTGAAAACAAAACGTGCCCGACTTTAAACATGATCATCACGTTCCTGTTCAAATAATATTCCTTTGAAACATCATCGTAGCTCCCTGAAAGTACTTTAGATCACTTTACATGCAAATTCGCTACGGTGCTGCAAGGAAACGTAGATTAATGTCGGAATTACGTTAAACAAACTCAAATGTAATTTAAGGGGCCCTTTATCAGATTACAGTATATTACCATGCACGCCTGTCCCATTAAGGCATACTTTTTCTTCCCCTCTGTAAAAATTCCAGTTTGAAATTTCCTCCAGAACTTTGAGCATGCGCATACGACCTGGGAATCAATACGCCAGGTACAGATTCGCCGCGAAAGTGCAGATTTCTGTAACTTAGCGCGGAACCGTACCGCCTCGGGTCGACAAGCCAACCCGTAGATGTCGCCACGTTACATTCAAAACATAAACTAGGCAATTTGATTTCATAGTTTCATTTTGTTAATAAAACCGAAAATAAGGCAATTAGTGCAACAGAATAAAACTTTAATACAGCATTTGTAGCTAGGATACGCAAAGAGACTAATTATTATGGAACAAATACATTTTCAAACTTTCGTTTTACGTGCGTTCCACTTTCCTGGGGGATTGTTAAAAAAACTGACTGTGGCTAGAGAATGCGAAATTCAAGTTAAGTCTTGGTTTAGGGTTACAATATTCCAATTCGACTATGCAAATTAACGGATTTCCAACACACTATAAATGTAAATAGAGTCATGTAACTAAATCTTTTGTGAACAGAAGTGGGCAAGTAAGGTTCGTTTTTACGAGGGCGTAGAAGGGCCAACAACGACTTCTACACTTTTTCATAATCGAGAGAAGGAAATGGAGAGAACTACAGAAAGGAGTAGGAAGATTGGGCTACTAGTTCAAAAGTTACAACCCTTTGAATTTTTTTTTCGAAATTTGTTTCTAGTCTATAACTTTTGATTGAGAGGTCTAATCGAAAAAGTACGATTTGTTTTGGATTCTACGCACCAAAATTAATAAGAAAAAGTGTTTTCCCGAGTGCAGTCGATATTTGGTAAAAAAGGAAGGTTATTAACTGCCTTTTTTTGAGCCCCGAAAAAAAAATTGTCTCAGATCGGTCCGGAAAAAAATTTTCTGATAGAATGTGGCCTGTAGAATCCATAATTTCAAACAGTTCCAAGATTGGGCTACTAGTTCAAAAGTTACAGCTCTTTGAATTTTTTTTCGAAATTGGTTTCTAGTCTATAACTTTTGATTGAGAGGTCTAATCGAAAAAGTACGATTTGTTTCGGATTCTACGCACCAAAATTAATAAGAAAAAGTGTTTTCCCGAGAAATTTTGGTGCAGTCGATTTTTGGTAAAAAAGGAAGGGTTTACACTGCCTTTTTTTGAGGCCCGAAAAAACAATTGTCTCAGATCGACCCGGAAAAAAATTTTTCTTATAGAATGTGGCCTGTAGAATCCATAATTTCAAACAGTTCCAAGATTGGGCCACTAG